AACAAAAAAAAATTTGGCCAAATCGGTTAATAAAGGACGGAGTTCTGAGGTAACAAATATAAAAAAAAACATACAGCCGAACCTCCTCCTTTTTGAGGAAGTCGGTTGAAAAGCAACTTTTTATTCATGAAATATTTTCGTTTGTGATAGAAATACAAACCTAAGACAATAACAATAAGATAAGCAAGGACAAATCATCACATAATAAATTCGTAGGAATCTTTGAACCGATTTTTCATCTTTGATTTCATTTGTATTTTTAGAATATTATTGTGAATATCGCAACACCACTGCTTCTTAGGACTAAGCTAAATAATATATGATAGGTACATTGGGTACAATGCATTTTTCTTTTACCGTGGAAAAGTGCGAGAAACTACGAAAGGCGTTGTGAAAGTCACGCACGCGCAACTCAGATGATATGTAAGGTGACCATGTGACCGCCTCTGGGAATTGCGGTTTTACGTTTTACACATCTATATCCATGCATGGGAATAAACAGAAAAGAATTTCAATGTCGCTTTTATTATGCTATTCAAATCATTCCATCACATAATTTTTCTTATAGAGAAATATTTGAAGAAATTGTAAGGTCGCGATTTGTTTTAAGTGGGACAAGTACTTTTTTGTTCAATACTAACATCATCTTCGTTCTAGGATCGAACCTACTTCCTCCGTGCTGTAGATAGTGACTAACCAACACGCTAAGTCGAAAATCACAATTTATGTATTGCTGGGCTTTTTCTATGTAATAGAATTATTATTTGCATATTATTTACTTTTACTGTTGATATTAATTATAGTATGTTATACATACATGCTTTAGCAGTTTTGGCGAATTAATAAATCACAACAGTGATTATTAGCAAAATTGAAATGTGAATGAAAGATATCGCTCAGCGAGTTCATATATTATCACTTACTGAGAAACATAAGTTTTACGTAGGTAAAATTACAAATGGGTAGCGAATACTTTATAATTATAAACAACTTTTAATATTATATAGCGTTGCACCTTCAAACATTAAATAAATATTACAATGTTTACACCTTATTATACCCATAAGATCTTTGGTTTTAAATGGATTTATTTAGCCACACGTATAAATTTTGTTCAGTTTTGCATGCGAATATTTTCTGTTTCCATTTCTTTCAGGGCTTTTAAGCAAAAAAAATACATTTATGTCGAAATATTTCTATTTATTCAAATGTCAACTATCTACCCGGGAGAGGTACCTATATACAACAAATTAAAGGAATAATTATCAAAATCGGTTCACAAGAGGCGTCGTATATATCGCGTAACAAATGCACAGAGAAACAATCACTCAACTAACTAATATATGTATATATATATATATATATATATATATATATATATATATATATATATATATATATATATATATATATATATAGGTATTTCTTCTATTCTTTATTTTTTGGCTTCGTCATCTTCTATTGGTATATAAATAAGCAAAGACAACAGTTCAGTGCCATTTTAGTATCTGTTTGTCATCTGTTTGTACCTGTTTTTTTAAGTGGCTATTCACGAGCTTTAGCTTATCACTAAAAATAAAGGGGAATATTTATAAAAATACTAACGTATTTTTATAAAGATAGGTAAATTCTTTTCATATACATATGATTTGCTCTTAGTAATGTTATGACGAATGTCGACGACTCAGTGAACACTAGTTCTACTTAATAGACATTAATTAGGTATATGATTTTTAGAAAAAGTAACAATAGTCAAGTGCGTTTGAATTATCTATGTTTATTAGAGTTCGGATAGCCGCATCAGCCAGATTTACCATGGAAATTCTAGGAAACAATAAAGAGATGTATACATAGGCTTAGAAGTAATGTTATAATATTCTGAACATTACAAACTAGGACGTAAGTATAAAAACCCGTTTTTTTTCTAACCTTGAGCGCTTAATTTCGAAAATGGTGACACTGCTTCCCCCATAATGTCGAGGCGCGTAAAACATACACGAAGCCATACACCACCACATATTTATGCCCGACGTAAATATTCTTTACGAATAGGAGTTGATTCCAGCTATAATTTTATAATCAAAATACGTGGTAGCATAGTGATAAATAAAGCTTAGTAAATTAAGAGTAAGTATTTGTTGAATACACAAATTGGAGATATGGAAGAAAACTATTTTTCCCGATTTTTTCGCGTATATATTTAGATTTTTGGTTCCCGATGTTTCGAATACCATGGTCACGGAAGACAGTCTCTCCCAAAAAATAAAAACTAATCCGTGAGAAAACTCAAATGGCAGATGATTATTTTAAAGACTGTATCTTTCCAAACAATATAATAATATCATACATAATATTTAAATTTTAATCAAATTGTTCTGAAAGTAGATTGCAATTTTAATAAATAAAATAATTTCTATGATATAAATGAGTTAAGAAGATTTACTTTATTTGTCTAGACTCCTAGAGTCTAGATATTGCATAGAAGGTTCTTAGTGTAACGTAATTGGAGATCTGCCCTTGAACTCTGAATATCATTTGACTATTCCACATTCTATCGGTAAAGCTCAGAACAGTAAGCTAATTATAGTGCGATACAAATGATGTTTTTGTTAATGAAACCAAACAGGTGCCTACGTGGCAGTAACGTTATTTTACTTTAAAATAAAACTTTCGACATCATTTTAAGGATGTAACTTTAGCCTTTTATAAAATGATATTAGTAAAATCACTCCACATTTCTGGTCCAATTCACGGCGCTATCCATTCTCTATACTACCTTTAACGCTTATACTTGATAATATACCTAACTCATTAACAGTTGCTCCTATGAATTATAGCAACTTTCGGATATGTATTCTAAATGAGTCTGACTGGTCAAAATCTTGAAAGAAAAACCGTTGATACCAAAGTCTCTTTTAAAAATTACTTGTTTTCATCAGCTTTACATTGTACGTCGATAAAAACTTGCGTATATGTTAATTCAGGATATGAAGCACGCCCAGGAGTACGCCAAAATCTCGCAATTATAGTCATGGGCGTACCCAGCTTTTGGTCCAGGGGGGGCAAAACAGCAACTCTTTCTATACAAAAATCTTTTTATTCATAAACAATAAGGAATGTGAAATACAAACCTTTCTGAAATTATTGTTTGATAATATACGGACTATTATTATATGTTTTCATTATTATGTTTTGAAATTCCATTATATTCGCATCGATTGTTTCGTTTCTATATAACGATTTTGTAAGCCTGATAATAGGTATGAGGTACGTAATACGTATGTATTTGTCTAACTACACAATTTGAGAGAATGCAACGCGAGAACAAAACTTTCAATCACATACTGCTTTTACTAAATAATATTCCATCCCTATCGTAGGCTCTAAAGCCGTATTCAATCATCAAATATTAAATATTACACTGCTAACCATATATTCGTAAACAAGAGACAGGGTAAAAATAAATTTGGTACGGACCAAATCACGATTAGATACTCTATTTATTCCGCATACAATAACCAACCTTATTTTCTAAAGGATAAGGACGAAGGGCTTAATAAAGATAAAAGCGGATTTGTTCTAAACTGCCGAATGCACCGTTAAGTTCCGAGAGACATTGTGCCCTATACCTTCATTCTAGCCTTGACTGAGAACGTTGACCTTTTTTTGTAAGTCGTGAGTACTTATAATGGGTGCTATTGTGCAGCAGTCGAGATATATGTAGGTATATACATATATATATTAATTTTATTGAACTAGCCATATTGCGAGGGTTTACGTGCATTTATTTACATAATTTTATCATTTATTATGAAAATTTTATATTTTACTTTCATAGATTTACGCGAATATTTGACATTTTAAATAAAACTATCTTTTCGGATTTTTTCACGGATTTATTTTGATTTTTGGTTCCCGATGTTTCGAATGCTTTACAGCAATCATGGTCACGGAACACAGATGGAACGTCGGGAACCAAAAATCCAAATAAATCCGCGAAAAGATAGTTTTATTTAAAATTTTATATTTTAATAATATAATATTATTTTCTAACTAAATATTATTTTCACTCATTTATAAGAATGAATAATACCTAATTAAAAACTTGTAAATTTATTATGTTTATAAATAAGTAAATATAAATGAAAAGGGTGATTTAATGTTTAATTTAACAACAACAATTATACGTAATTAATAATTATTATATATAATAATAGTTTGCATACATTACCTTCATTATTAAGTTTTTATTCAAATTTTATGTCAGTTTCTCATGATCTCAACATAACTATATATACCTATGTACTTTGTAAAATTTTTGTAAATAGACATACATACACTAGGTATATTGCGATGGCTAATTAGGTAATACATATTATTTTTGGTTCTCCTAATAAGAATGATAATAACGTATATTATGATTCTTATAAGGAAGACCGATATAGGTAAGACTTTATCTGCCTACAGTGCCCACACTACTTTAATTTTGATCCCATTTAAAATACATACGGATAATACAATATTTATTTCATTAATTATAGTTAAATTGTTATACATTAACGAAAAAATATATTTTATTTGCAAGATTAAACTAGCGTATTTAGCTTTAGTTAATTTCATGCACGGACGGCGGGCCTGGCTCATGTTTGTTAGGGATAAAGGAGGATAAACTTTTCAAGCAATATTTGCACTTTTGTTCTCTTGTAGTATTAATTGTAATACCTATTTGTATTAACATACGTTTACGACCACGACGAAATTAATAGATAAGTTTATTGTTTATAATATTATTTAAAAATAACTGGGTCAGCAATACATTTGTTGGCGATATTTTTAGAAATCGCTTAACCAGTATAGTTTAATATCTTGCAGTTTATGCAATTTACTTATAATGATTTTTTAATTTTATATCTATAGGGATCTTTGTAATTAATCTTAAAAATGCCTAAGCCTTGAGTATTAAATATCGAATTTTATATATTTTTCAGACATGTTACGAAATGGAGCGGTACCTCCGGGAAGAACCCCGAGGGAAACGCAGAGAGCCGGCTCAAGAAGAAGAATGGGCGAGATCAGCCACATCATCACCACCCTCACCACCTTCACCACAATCGCCCGGACTGTTCACTGTCACAGCAGTAAAAAGTGAACCTCCCAGCGATTCTGATGAACCAAGAGGTATGATTTTCAACAATGCTTTACTATGAAAAAAAAAATTAAATCAATAATCATTCGTGAAACTTATAAGCTATTTTCATCCGACTCCAAAAAGGAGGAGGTTCTCAATTCGGCTGTATTTTTTTATGTTTGTTACCTCAGAACTTCATCATTTATAAACCGATTTTACCAAATTTTGTTTTGTTTAAAAGTGTATACTTCCAGATTGGTCCCATTTAAATTTAAAAAAAAAATACCACCCCTAAGGGTGGAAAAATAGCTAATGAAAATTTTACCTACTTATAATTGTCGTATTGACTTGAAACTTTGCTAGTGTTTCTACATATTTTCGTTGATAGTGCAGTGCTTTGGCATCGTCAACCTGATTTCATGGCAAGGCCAGAAGGTGGATGGATAGGTGGAACTATTCAACGGCTAATAGGAGATATTTTGAGTTTGGGCGTATTTTCTTTGATTTGACAAGCCCAATTCTTTTAGAGCTGGAATTATTAGTGTAACATTGGCAACACAAAAAAATCTGGCTATAAAAGCGAATTTTAGTTTGTCTGCCTTGATTCCTTTGATTGAACCTAATCAGCGGCTTAAAAAAGCAAATATTTTATTCAAATACTTTCTTCTTACTTTGCTACTACTGTGCCTATACTAAAAAGGAAAAAATAAAAACTTAGAAGAAACTAACTTAAAAAAAAAAGACTAAAAAGTGAAACAAAAAAACCGATTAGTAGTTTTCATTTACTATAGCTACACTTAACACTGTAATTTACGTTATTTCGTACATGTATAACCTAACCTCTTTTTTTGAGTTTGCTAAGTTTTTTTCCTGACTGTGTCCGTCAGATATGCCACATTACATAAAGTGGTTATCAAGTGAATTATTAATCTTAAAATTATTATGAAGTGCTTTGTACCTACTTATTAAATCCTGATTAGGGGCACCCCGCTCCACTGCAGGCGAAGATTTTCGAAGCATTGTAGTTATTCCTTTCTTCGTTGATGGAACTTGAAAGAAAATACATTATTTACTTACAGATACTAATTAATTTAGCAATTTTCAATAAATAATTTTAATTTTTACAAGCTTTTATTTAGTTTTGTGTATTGGAATCCGAAGTCCGATTGAGCTGAAATTTGGCACACTAGTTTGGTTCCTGATGCAATTCACGATTACCTAAATTGCCGCCATTTTTAATTCAATATGATGAGCGTTACAAATTGGCGATTTATATATATATATTTTTTAATAAATATGTTAGGACATTAACACACAGTACCACCTAGTTCCATGGTAATTTATGAATACCAGATAGTTGATACGCTACACGTATACAACTTTAAATACATACATATTATAAATATACACACCCATGACTGGAGAACAAACATCAAATGCCGCCAGCGGGACTCAAACCCGCAACCGCTGGCACAGCAAGTACAAACAAAGCACTACAAACTGAGCCAAACGTGTCATCAAGCCTGTGTAGATAAACAAGGAACAAAATACTAAAAAATAATGTTTTTATAAAGTAGGTAAATCTAGCGACAAGCTTTTATTTCATATAAGTTGTGTAATGTAACAAATGTAACAAATTGATTGTTTTGATTTAATGTTTATTTTATTCTTTTTAGGGTATTTAAATAAAAGCTTGTATTTAAAAATGCTTTTTACGATTATTTTATTTTATCACATATTATGTTATAAATATTGAAACTTTTCGTTTAGCAATTATACATATATAAAGATTTCTAGGCATAGAAAAGTATGGCAGGCATAGAGAAATTGATGTTTAACTAAAAAGAAAAAAACATATTTTAAGCGTGAAGTTATAAAGTTTACGACTATTAGGTATTTAAGAGCAAAAGTTTTATGAAATCTACGCCTCCACTAGATAAGGTTTTTACAGCCTCTTCTTTTTTATACATTACTAGCGACTCACCTTCGCTTTGCTCGGGGTCGTCCCTAGGTTGATTCCCCGTACAAATTTTCATCCCCATTTTCGGCCCCTTTAGGGATGATTTCCGGGATAAAAGGTATCCTAAGTCCCTCCCAGGGTTTCCGTCAAACTAAACTATCTTCTTACCAAATTTATCTAAATCGGTTCAGTAGATCCCAGAGACTACAGCGTCACACACTCACAATTCACAAACTTTACCTCTTTATAATATTATTAGTATAGACAAAATATGTTTCATTGAAATTTTTGCATAATATTAATTGATAAGCCGTAATACGACGAAAGAGGTATGAAAAAAATCAATTTGATTTACATACTCGGTAGGCAATTACATTTCTAAGGAGTGCTGGCATGCATTCGATTATATTTAAAAATAGATAAAGATAAACTAAGGATTCTTTAATAGAATTGAAGAGAACTTCAAGTATTTCATTTATTTGAAAATTACATGAAATAATTTATCGTGATTGCATAGTTTCTAGATCATGGAGTAATCAAAACTTATGTTTTTTTTTTTTCAGATGAACCACCGAGCCCGGCGCCGGTACGCCGTCACGTGCCACGCCACCATCCGCACGCGCACACCACCGATCCCCGGCGTCGTGTGCATAGATGTGAATTCCCAGCTTGCGATAAAGTCTACACTAAAAGCTCACATCTCAAAGCACACAAACGGACCCATACAGGTTGATATTGACATGTTTTCTATTGAACTTAATTAGAGATTATAATTAAGTAATTACATTTAAGTGTACACTACTTTTTTGGAGGAACACGATGTTTGAAGGTGGTAGGTATGTCTCATTCGTGTAATGATAGTATCATATTAGATTAACTTCGCTCTTTACCGCAATAATTACAAGAATTCGACTTTTACGTTTTAAAGGGTCACTTCGTTTGATTGTATTCAGTGTTTATCGCCAGTAAATTACATGTAATTTCAATTACTTTCAACGTGAAAGATAAAGCTGCTAATCTACTATTTTATTAAGTATCAGTAGTTATTATATTATATTATTATATATTGTTTTTATTAAAGATAACTAATCTTTTTAAGACAGATGTTGAAGTTTTAACTTTACTGATTTATGTTAGAATTGTAGAGCTTACGGTGTATTATTTTAACTAAGTAATTGAGAAACACACTATATTTCTTTTACGTGTTTAAAAAGTCCCTTCTGTCATCTAATGATAATAATGAATGCCACTCAAGGTTTACCGATCCATTGCTTAATTTTTGGTACAGTTAGTGGAAAGTTGTGTCTTGGCTAAGACTATTCTTGTGTCATTGAAACGAAATGTCCTTATTCGGCGTGGTTATAACATTTGTTATCCATTTTTTAATCTTCAGGTACTTTTTTCACCGGTTAGATCTTGTAGCAGTCGAACGAGTGATATCACTATTCTCCGAACGCCACCTGCATTGAGGCAAGCGTGTAGAATACTGCGTCAAACGCCTCGCTCTCTAAATAAAAATGAAGTTTAAGACGAAACGCTTCAAAAAGTCAATATAATCAATTGAATTTTTCATACGACATTATAAATAGTGCCGATACCAGTTAGACCCATTTATTTATATTTCATAACACTATTGCCTCCAATTTGATTTATTTATTATATTAATTCTGTTTAAAACTTGTATTTTCTCTTTTCAGGGGAGAAACCTTATAAATGTTCTTGGGAAGGCTGTGAATGGCGGTTTGCGCGATCTGATGAGTTGACTAGACATTACCGTAAACACACGGGGGCGAAACCTTTTCGCTGCCGTCATTGCGAGCGCTGCTTTTCCCGCTCCGACCATCTAGCATTGCATGCGAAGCGCCATGCGTAGCCCGAGAACTCACCGCCCACTCCCAAGAAGAGGGGCAACAGGAGCAAACGCTCTGAAAAACTATTAACTGTTGCCAACGTGCGCTAAGTATCTGCACGATGGGCGCGCGTCTCTTAGTAACGATCAAATTGTGCGATTCCGCTTATAAGTTTTGTGTGTTGTGATTTTACGGAATTGAACGGTGTGTAAGACGGTCTCTCGCCGCTTAGTGCGAGCGCGCGCCCGTGGAGTGGGGTTGGGGGAGTTGCAAGCCAAAGAAAACGTCGCTACGTACGTAGCCGAGTCAACACTCATTTCACCTAATGCTTTAAAGTTAATTTTTATTCATTATGTTTAATCGACGATAAATTTTAAAATCCCTTTAGCGTTTCGGCCTCCGTCGTTGTAGTTCTTTGTTGCGATAAGAGAACAATTTATATTTGCCGTTGTTTATTATGTAAAAGATTTTTTCTAAGCTTTGTGTACAGAGAGGTTTTTTTATGTCGGCCGGTCGCATAGCGGCGGTTCGACGATAGTTGTGCCATCGTTCGCGGAGCAACCCTTCCGTCGACCTGCATTTGATTGAATACGTGTGACATATTATTTATTGATCCGCGGGATGTTCGGCAGAGATTCCCACCGACGCCCAGCACAACCTTTCGTTAGCGGTTAGTTGTAAGCTTAGTAGGATGTGCGTCGCGTTACCTGATGTTACGTCGGCCTCTCGGAAGACTCGCTGTGAGCACTGTTACTCTGTGCCGCCCGCGCACATGTTGGTGTGTGTGACATTTGTTGGTGCGCACATTGTTGAAACAATATATTTTGTTGAGATTTACATAGCATCACATTATTTTTAAGTTTTTTTTTATTTGTTCAAAAGCGATACTTTCGAGAAATCGGCTTATGTTTATTTTATATAATGTTTATTTTTAAGATATCATAATGCATTCTTTGCGAGATATTTACTTTAAGCTGTTTCTTTTTACTCTCTCATTCCGTTTGTTTAAGTTCGACCTTGTCTATCGCGGTGTTGTGGGTGCCGTACGGATAGAATTCTTTGCGTAAATGTTCTGTTGAAATAATTATGCCACGATCTTACACACGTAGCCTTTAGAAGATAGGTTTAACCACACAATTTATTTAGGTAAATTATTAATTAATTAAGGGTTTTTTGAGAGCGGCATGCTACGTGTGTAGGATCGTCAAGGATAATTTCGCAAGTTGATTTTAGGACACAGTCGCTCTATTTAGTTGTTTAAATAAATGGCTCTTGGTCTCCTAGCTCGGGACTGCGTGTAGACTCGAAAGTATTAAAAGGACAAAGTTTTACTGCCGTAACATAAAAGGTTCTGCTTATTTGAATAATTTTCTATATATTGTTTGCATGGTTGCTTAGTTTGGTATAGGCGCTGATGTTAGTCGAATTAAATATTTGAAAAAAAGTCGTTATTGTAAGAGCTTACATAATTTTGACGTTAAGATTTTGGATCTCTTAAGTTACAACATATCATAAGAAAATTATGGAAATACCTAATAATAATATTGATTAAATGAGCATTTGTCTAATTACAGTTTATTAGTTTATTGTTAGGATTTCCTTGCATAAATATTTTATAAAATAATTTACAAAAACATCTAAAATTACTCGTTACTGATAAAAACTAAAATAAATGTCATCCTAATTTGAAGTTATTGAAATTTTAAAGAATAGGAATTCATTCTAACACTAATAGTTAAATTTTAGATAGGTACGCGACATTCGATAAAGATCGAAAAGCTTTTTTACAGTGAAATGACGTCAGAGCGTATATTAATATGTTATTTATTATTGGAATTAATAACGAATAGTATTGTACTTTAGGGAAATTCGCATGTCTCTATGAATTAATCAAAACATATTTATAATGTATTCATTTTTAAATTAAAATTCTTAGTAACGAAAATATTTGCTAATTGGAATATTGTTAAAGGCACATAAAGTTCTAGGTAGGAGAAAAATGTCTATAGATAAGAAAACAATAATCCTTTTCTCAACTAAGACAACGCGATCTACGAGTAGGTATATATTGTAAACATGTTCTCAAATTTTAAATGGTGTGGCATACTAAGATGTACCCATAACCATGGCTCGATGGTCTTTTCGAACCTTAAGTACGCAGAGTTACAAACTGCCGAACAACTTTTTTGGCGATTTTTGATCTTTTTATCATTATTTATAATTGTGTCGCCTTTACATCAACGAAAACGGTCACCGAGCCACAAGTGTACTTGGTCGTATGTCGGTCACCCTCTGTTGAAATGTAAATGAACCGCCCTTGGCATTTTATTGAATTCAGACGACGTTACTTAGATCTTTTATAAATGACTATAAAACATTACAAAATACTATGTTTTTTTGAATTGTTTAAACAAACAAGATCGGCAATGTATTTATATTTATTATTAAATAATAATTGCATTGAGTATAGCTTAATATTAATTACTTATAATTATAAACATTTTATATTCTTATGAAGAGTACACTCTTAAAGGGTAAGAAATAATGTTTTGTGAACACTAAAAGCTTATATATATCATGTCTTAATGTTTATATATAAATTAATTTTTGTAACATGTTAGATAAAATCAGTTTAACGTCAGTCGAAACTTAGAATTGTTTTGAGGAAACATTTAAAGTAACTAGCGCCATCTATTGGAAAGTTTGAAAACTGTTGTACTAAGAGATTGCATTTGTATAAAACGGGATGTCGCTACTGTTGCTGTTTAAATATTTACGTACTGTACTTCAGGTTAATTCAAAAACATTCCGGTCAGATAGAGGATAAATTTTAAACGAATTCCATATATAATCACCAATTAATCATAACAAAACATATACTAATGTTTTGTTATTTAATATATTCACTAAAATTTCCATTGTATTGTAAAAACAACCTAGTAAATAGTAGTTATATTAATTAATATAATGTAACACATAAAATAATTTGCATTTAATTAAAATTGCATTTGTTATAAATATAAAATATTTAAAAAAAATGTATCGTTCACATTAGTGAATTATGCAATTCGAAATATTTGTCAAAATTTGTTGATTATTTCATGTAGCTCTTAAATATCGACTTGAATGTTGAAATCATTTTAGCGATCACACATTATAATAACGTAATTATATAACCAGGCTGTGGTAATTTAAATAGTGCATTGTGAATATTCCATGAAGGTTAAAATATACATAATCAGAAAAACATAATTTTTTCAATGTTTCGTTTTCAATTTTTGTATCCACCGGCTGTCCTTTTTGGGATGTAATGAATATTTCTTAAAATTATAAGTACAACGACTGCAGAAATGTTACTGCCATAATTATATTATCAAATAAGTAACCAGTAATGCACAGATTATTTTTTAATTTTTAATATCAACTGGATATATAATCTGTGTGTTAGATTTGGTTGATTAATTTGTTACGTGAAAATCCCGGGGGCCAACGATGTAGTCTTCCCGAATTGATAGTGTGATTTTATACGTCAATGCGATCTCAGGGATTCATGTGTAATGTAATATAGAACGATTTTCAAATCCATTATTTACACGCAATGGAAGGAAAACTGGTCTATATAAAACTGTACTGCCAAAAGCACAATGTTTAGAAGATTTTATTATTCATTAAGAAATTTGATAAACCGATAATAAAATAATTAAATTCTGCTTTCTCTTAGATATACATTAGGCTCCTAAAAGGAATTTATGACACAGGTGGATTTTATCTCATTTTTAAGAACAATAAGGGTAAAGCAATATTATAAGTGTACATTTTTGTTAAAGGAAGAAAGAAAATTTACAATGTATCTGATAGTTTTTATTTATAAACGAAAATCTTTAAAATATGTTAATTTTATTGTTTTAAGCCAAAGCACCGCTACTTAGCTTGAGTGTTTGAATTATTTTATTGGAGGGGCATGTAGTCTTAGTCACTGAAATGTGTGTCTAAATTCTTCAACTGCTTAGAACAATTTTGCCAAATTTACAAACTTATTATGTGTGTAAATATCTAACTTCTACAATTAAATAGATATAATATTCTATTTAACTTTTAAAAATCTGAATGTAACCCAAATCCTCATACAACAGATAATTTAACCATTTCCTCGATGTTTAACTTATTGTAGTGTACACAAATCGAATTTAAACTTATATTACATTGTACTGTGTACTGTAGTGCTTTAAGTTATTATCACTTTCATTTGTACGCTGGCAATTTATTTTTTGATTATATCATAGTCTTTGGATATTTTTAATAATATATAATATAGTATATCAGTGTGTGGATGTTTAAAATGAAAGAGTAATTTAGACGTAATTGTAATAAATATATAAAAATGTGATTCATAAGTTTATTCAATCCTAGTGGCATACCTATATAATGTAATGTGTCATAGTACTGTTTATTGGATTACTCGTGGAATAAAGATACCTGTGCTTAAGGGCGAGTCTAAATGTGATTAGATATGATAAATATTTATTAACTAATTATGCACGATGGCTGGATAATGCATATTATAATTAGACGAGTAGAAAAATATATGTGTGAAAATATGGATGTCATATGGTTAAGTAAATATACAACTATATAGCAAATTTTTGAAACAAAAGTTGCGGCTGTGTATATCTGAATCAACCTGTAGATAGGTTTTTCTAAATAAAGAATGAGCCTACTGATAAGTAGAAGCACGTCACACTACTATTATACTGAACAGGACATTTACTTAGGTTAACCAACTATTCATGAATATGTTTATGTATTAAACAATCTAACAATAAGTTATCTCTTTTACTTTAACTACAATGGTCTGATCTATGAAAATTTTCTGTAATCAGTATTAAAATGTACAATTTATTTGGACAAATGTGCAGGTCAAGATGTACTTTAGATTATAATTTTTTCATTATTTTTTATTATAATAGTTTAGTGTGTTTTAAGTATAATTATGACTTAAGTTGTATTTATACTTAAAAAT